TGTGTTCAGACAGACGGCAAAGCCCCCACCCCTCCAACTGCCTCTCTTTGTGGTCTGAGGCTCATTGTGCATATTTAGTAATGAATGCTAAGGGCCTTGCTTTTTGTCATACATAATATAATTATTGTGCATCATTTTGCGGTGATGTATGTATATGAAAATGTTACATCGGTGGTGCTGTATTTGTATTTATTGTAAATCCTATTGCAGAGGGATATGTAATACTATATCTTATCTTAACTTATCTTTAAGTTCAAATTTTCACTGTGTTGGAGCATGGGACAGGCTGCAGGCGACCACAGAGGAGCTGCTTCTCTTCCGCATGAAATACACGCATGGCCAGTAAGGACTGAAGCAATTTTTTAAGATCAGGGTCAGATGATTTTACCGCACAGTAAACAGTGTTTGGTGAGTCAAGTAAACTCATATAGTGGAACACAAGGCCTCTCGTGCCTGCACTCATCCACTGGTGGGAGGGCCCGGACACAGATGTCCTGACCGCCAGCCATTCAGGGCTGGTGTAATGGCACCATTGATTCTGTGATTATGTGAGGGGGCGTATCTCTTACTAAAAGTATTATTTATTAAATTCACAGGGAATCAGGCTCGCGCCTCGTCTCTTTGGTGCCCTGTCTGTTAACATGAGGCGACGGGGCAAGCATGATATCTACACATGTAGATTATTATATCTTTAAAAAATGTTTTAATGGTTAATCATTAGCCTCACACTTATTTTATACGTATTCAAAAGCACTGAGACATCAATGTCTCATGGCTTAATAACGGTTTGGGCTTAAACGGTACGCTACCAGTCCTCCTGGAGATGGGACACTATGGTGGACCTCTGAAGCCTGAGGACTTATCGTCTGGGTCAATGACTGTCACTGTCTGTCTCCACCTCCCTAAGCTACCAGACAGTGGTAAAGGCATTATCGCAGCACGTTGCTTGCTGAGATGGATAGGCTTTGGTTTTAGTGTGACAGTTTGATTTATGGCTTCTTTCACATTGTGGAATGGGGGTGACTCACCTACAAATGGTCCCACAACAGCAGCTGTTTCAAATCCTTTTGCTAAACAATGGACCAGCGTTGACCCTTTCTGAGCCTTTTAACTGCTCTGACAGCTTGGTTTAAGATGAGTGCAACTTTGGGTGGTCAATGACTGAATCAGCAGTGTGTAGTGGAAAAGCCAAAGTGAAATGTAAGTTTGAGCGTCTTTAGCTTCTGTGCTGTTACGTATTTCACAGTGAAACAGAATATTTGAGTACGGTTGTAAACACCCGAGTGGAGGATGAGTCATCAAACATTTGAAACCGTTTTAAAAGGAGAGGGACTGTGTATTTTACATTTTACTTTAATGTGAGCTCTTATGGGTGTTGAAATGTGTCACATCAACACCAGAGCGATGGTAGAGAACAGTTCGTCTGGCTTTAGTGAAGTTACAGGGATTTCTGCCATCAATATCTTTAAGCTGGTGGGAAGATCAGCTGTCTAAACTGTCTCCAGACATCGTATGGTTTAAAAACAAAAGGAGATACAATAAGAATGTTACTCTGATGAACGTCCATCCAGAAGGTGTGTAATGAATTTCAATCATTTCAGCTCACAGTGGGCATCAGGGAAAGTCTTTGCATAATCTCCTCCCAAAAATATTTCTGCTTTAGTTGTGGATGCATTGCCTCTCCTCTTACTGGTAAAGTGAGGGTTTGTGGTGGGCTCCAGCTTCACCCCAGGTTTACTGATTTACTGATTCCTAGTTGACCTAGCTTTCCGTGTTAGGATCTGAATGAGTCTGGTCCTCTGCCAGCCCCGGGTCACCATGGCCTGCCTGCTCACGTGGCAGCCATTCAACACTGCTGGATCCCCACAGGGCGCACGGATGAGATCTGATTCCTCATTGATGCCAGGGTCCACAGTTGTAGAGTTTGCAAAAGCCCAGATAAGATTATCAACATATTTAGGCATGTTTATCTAAATCCTTGTGGGGCTCCTGTAAAATGACGTTAAACAAATCTGTGGGGCAGTATTTAGAAGAATAGAGGTTTTCTGAACATTTCTCAGTCTGCCTTTGTTTTCACAATATACTGATGTATTTTCTATAGTGACTATAGTGCTGCTGAATTGCGAAAGGTTGAACAGAGAGAGCCAAGGAGCCCTTTTATAGAGGCTTTTCCCAGATCACAGGGAGGGAAGGTTCACAATGCAGCTCTCTCTCTCTCTTGCATAAAGGACACTGAACTCTTAACTCACTAATGCACACACATGTCCAGATGGCTTTCCCTTTGCATCTTGCTGTTGCATACATTCTCACGGTACTCACTGTACCTTGTCGTCTGACTCTTTTTTTTGAATGCCAGACGGCCTGTTGTCTCACTAATTGCCAATAAGTCAATTAGGTACCTTGTAGAAACCTGGAGTAAGATCAAATGATGTGTCTTCATAAGTCATGAAAACCTTGCTGGTAGTTTTATCTCTGAACTTTGGCCCCCAGTTGTCATTATTGCTCCATTGTCTAATGTATGCCCCCTTTGAACCTATTCGTCATTGTCATCATCGCCAGTGGTGAAAAGCCATTGATGATGATGATGATGAGTGAGGCTTTACCCTCTGTGGCAATCGTGGCCGAGACACTGGAGCAGTGTGCAGGTTAATCCTTTAATCTTCATTAGCATAGTTTGGTAACCAGAGAGCCAAGTCTGCATTATTGCTCAGCACACTCCGTTTAACCCACTACAGCTACTTACCAGTGTTGCCTCCTCAGCAGTCGTGAGCACCCACAGCGAAACCATATGACGCTATGATAAAAATCCAAACTCAAATAATAGCTGAATGCCACACAACATGGTTCAGACCTTTTCTGGAGTAGTTTATTAGCCTCTGGGAATAAATCCGCTTTGCAAATGTTTTTATGAGGAAGGAAACTCACTCTACAGGCTTGTTAGGATAAACACACTGCATATTTGTAACACTAAATGTGAACATAAATTTAGCTTGTTTACAAGAAAACTCCACGGGGCCTCTTTTAAACATTCCCAAACTAATAGACAAAGTGCAGTTTGTCACTAAACCTCTGTTGCTAATATCCTGGAATACGAGTGAACGCAACAGGCTCATACATTCATCTTAAAGGCAAGGGTTAAGGCCTAAGATGACGACCCATTTTAACTTTGGTGGCGGATTTTTGGGTTGGAATCTCTGTCCACAAATGTTCTGCCAAGATTTCAGGCCTCTGTCTCTCCTGTTTTTCTCCTGTCTGCCGTCAACACTGTCCATTTTGTCTCACAGGAGGCTTTTCTGGCGGCCTCTGATTTGGCCTGCATCCATACTGTCGGCTTTGGCAGTGTAATTTCCCCCTGACAAGCTGATGGTTAGTGTTCATCCAGGCAGCCCAGTCAGTGCAATTTGGTTTGTGTTACGATCGTCTGTTTCCCATGTTGTGATTCTGTCTGATTTGTCTTGACCTTGTCATTTTGGTCACCGTCGAGGTCTCCACTTTGAATGGGTTTAATGATAGGTTGGTTTCCCAGGCCTGTCCACATCTTTTACGGAAGTGGTGCTTGTTTCTTATTCGCGGCAGGTTCACATGCTCTAACATGATCTGTTGTGTAAGCCGTGTACACGATGTCTCCAGCACAGCACTGTTTTGGCGTAGGGATCTTAATGTAATAAATGTGTATTTCTGAGCTCGTATCAACATCTGAAAAAGTCAAAAATGTCAAACTGCATAACAGTTCTGTCCTTCAAGCTACATCTAATATTCATAACTCATGTATATTCATTTCTTAATGAGGCATAGTTGGCTGCTGTAAAAAAAAATAGCACTACAGCGTTCACTACAGGTTTTACATTGAGTTGTAGATGTTGGACAATATTCCCTTTGGAAGCCTTATCTTTCTGGTTTTCAGAAATAATAGATGCCACCTGAGGCTGGCTAGAACAGAATTTATTTGTGTGGTATTTATGGCTTGTTTCTTCATTAGACAGTGGTAGAGGGGAAGAGGCAGAAAATAATGCTAAGATAAAGAAGATGACAAGCGGCAAAGGATGTGATGTGCATTTGAACTTCCTATTTTCAGGCAGATGTCCTTTTTATATCCCACTGAGTTGCCTGGGCACTGCAGAATATCTAATCTGTCTTTTGATTAACTTGTAATGTAAATCTTGTAGTTACTAAGGCCATAATATGGTTGGAAAAGGGAGTGTTCACGTGTGCCTGCCCATTACCATGAATATACAGTTTTATAAACCTTTTTGTTTTGAGTTCAGTGATCAAGATGTTGGTCCGTCACATCTCCCATGCTCACCATTTTTATCATCTTCATCGTGTTGGTTTTCTCTGCTACTGCTATTAGTTGTTGCTGCTTGGCCAGGGCCTACTTTGTCTCGCTTTTATAATTGTCACAGGATTGTCTAGCCAGCTCCAAACAAAGCATTGGCCTGCTTCAGTTCAAACAGGCCCTCTTAACACACAAGGAAGGAGACATTTAGGACGAAAGATTTAAAAAAAGACAACAGACTCGCAGACTCTCTTACTTTGTCGGCCTCTGTTGAAAGCTATTGCATGTTGTCTGTGATGCAAATCCCCCAAGGACTTGCTTCATACAGGAAAAAGTGCTTCTCTACTCAATATTTTACAAGGAGGAACTCTGAAGACTGATCTCCTTGTCTGTGATGGGACGATGAAGATGGACAAACCTATATGTTTTCAAAAAGACAGCAGTAATAATTACTCAAAGGAAACTGTGTCAAGTTTTTACAAATGTGCTTTAAAAATCAGTAACTTCACTTGCAGAGTAAAAGATGTACTCTATAATATCTTAGAATAGATATTCAATAGAAGGATTACATGCCATTGAATGCTGACTGTTTGTATGATGACAGCCAAGGTTCTTGTGAAAACCATCTTTGGCCTGTTTTTTTTTTTTTTTTTTTTTTTTTTAAATCTATTTTACATCAAATTTTTAACCTGACACTAACATCTCTGTATTTCTTCTTTTCCAGTCCTGTGTGCAAAGAACCTGGCAAAAAAAGACTTCTTCCGTAAGTAGATCCTATTTTTACATGTTGCTATTCTCGTCCCATTCCCCCCCCCTTGTGCATTAAAATGGGCTTTGTCAGCAGTGGCAGCTTGCTGGCTTTTGAAGCCGTGCTGTAAATGAAGTCCCTCAGGAGCCGTCTGTCTGTTTCACGCACCAGGAGGCTTGGCACGCACAGGGACCCACCGCTAACCAAACTTCTAGCAATACGCATCAGGTCCACTGAAACGGAGGCATTAGACTTGACTTAAAAAACGGCTTTGTTTAAACTGCACAGAAAGAACATCTTAATGGTGATTAACTGAGAATAAAACACAAACTTCACTGTAGTTTAGAAGACATTTCATCCCCTGATTTTGCATTTTGTCGTAAGAACATCACATGTCAAATCCTGCTCATTTTGTAATGGAAGAAAATAAGGAGACCTAAATATGTTCAGTGTGGTACAGGTAGGCCCTGCCTTGCCTTGTCTGGCTTTCTATTAGAAAACAAGCCAATGCAAATATAGAGAGACTAAAGAGTCTGACACCATTCTAGTGAGATTGGACTATAAAACACAAGTGCAAACAAACATGCAAAGATTGAAATACTGATATTTGGAGGTCATAGTAGGAGGAATAGGTACATCGTTTTCTTATTGGCTTCTAATTTACTATTGGTTAACGTTTAGCTGCAGGCCGTTTCTTCAACCTCTGTTTAGGCGATCAGGACAGAAGGCCGTCCTCAGTCGCTGGCATTAATGCAAGAGGAGACCTACCATTTAGTTCTACTGACGAGACGTTTCCCACAAAAGAATACCTCTGAGCAACCCACATCTTTTAAATGGATTGACAGTTGTGGCCAGGGTGAAAGTGCTTAATTGCATGGTGAGGTATTAAGCTAGTGGTTTGGTTCTCCATTAACCTGGAGGTCATGAATACACACAATAGCAAGTTCATTTATCTTCACAGAGACGGAAGTCTCACAAAAGCATAAGGGTGATTGAACAGGTTTGACTTGTGTGAAGTATCGGTGCCCAAAGGTAAAAACTCACGTTTAAAGTAGGCATGCACAGCCACACAGAGAACACCAGGTAAACACGGCAAACAAGATACTATTAATAGATTATACGTGTAGAGTAGAATAAAGCTTCAATGTCCCAGAAGGGTGATTTGGCTCACAGACAGCAGTCAATGATAGTAAATTCAAAAAGAATACAACTATGAATAAAAATGGCAATCAATACAACACACACATACTGACACATTGTATTGAATGATACTGATGAGACTGCGTCGGTGCCTAAATCTGCCCGGGATACTACTACCTCCGACCACACTATGATGTCCTTGCACTCTGAACTTAATGAGCAGTGTTATGATCAGAGGAGCTTTGCAATAAGATTTGTAGGCTCCCCTGATGGTCCCATAACAAAGGTCCAGCACAATCCCATGTCTTGTAGGGGAGGAAACTTGACTAAGGGACTTATCCACAGAGCAGCAATGAAAAGCCCCCATAATAAAGATGGGTGCATCTGGGGATATGCTCTGCGAGCTGCTGCTGCACTTTTACGATGACTGATGTGGCATTGACCACGTTTGCTTTAGGGTGGATACAAACAACCATGATACATAATTTAGGAAATTCTCTTGGCAGGTAAAAAGGGTGCGGAGACGCAGCTAAAAACTCAATATTGGGGAAATTCTTTGAGGCCGGTCATACTCCTCTGGGACAACCATTGCTGTAAAAAAAAAAAAAAAAGGCTATCGGAAGAAGAAAAATCTAGCAACCTTCATGATAGTAAGACGTCAGTGGATAAGATAACGGCACAAACAAATTCCTGTCTCCGGGCTGGGAGACTTAAAAAAAAAAAAAAAAAAAAAAAGAGCAAAATAGTTGCAGTCACCACAGGTGCATTGACCCGACTACAACTGCTCTAGATTTGTTCTACATGTCACTTACCTCTGCTGAGTAGATGGTACAGATTTAGGATTTTTTTTTATGAGCAGTATTTGCTTGCCTGGTCTCTCTGAAATGTGATAATTGTACTACTGAATAACTGAATTGTGAGACATAAATCAGTCTAAATGGGCGGGGTTGAACTTGTCCCATTGTCACACACATGTACGTGAGGGTTTAAAGGGTTTGTACAGTTGCTTAACGAAACCTTTTTTGCTTGCCTCTGTCTGCTTTTACAGGGTTGCCAGATCCTTTTGCCAAAGTGGTGGTGGATGGCTCAGGACAATGCCACTCTACAGATACTGTGAGAAATACGCTGGACCCCAAGTGGAATCAACATTATGATCTGTAAGTGAACAGAACTGTTTTGATGCCTCATTTAGAAACTAATGCAGCGAGTGCTTGTGTGTGGATTTTGTGTATGAGGTCACACACACCACCTGAAATTTGAAACCGTACAGGAAGTATTGTTATCGCAGAAAAACGCCGTACTGGTTTTGCTCTGTAGTATGTCTCCGTGTGGAACTGCTATGACAAGTGTTTCAGGAATGCTGATTGAGTCGTCTCTTCACTGTGCGCAGAGACATCCATCTTTAAAGCTTTTGAGCCATTTCATGCGTGAACAAAACATCATGCAGAGTGAGATTTTAGACATTCCATACCTCTGGCCTCACTCTGACGAATGTCGAATGCACATGAGATTCCTTGGGAGGAAAACACAACACATACTGATATGAATTCTTTCTTTCTCAGGTAACGGATTCATGCTATTTTGGGTATTAGAGGATGGCGTTTGATAAATAGTTCTGCACTCTGGAACAATATCCTCTGTAATTTGGAGTTTGTGTGATTCATATTTATCTGCTTTGCTCACTTTTCTGAGCCGAATGTGTCTTCACATAGGCCAACACACACACTTGGAGTGCGGCTTTATTTTTGTAATCTCATATAGTTTAACGTGTAAATTAATATTATTAGTATTTCAAACTAAACTGAATAATGCCATGGCAAAAACCAGAAGGGATGCAGGAGGGAAACACGTTTGTTGTTAGATGGTTACTGCTGAGAAAAGTTACAACAGTAACGGTAACATCCCTGTACTGAGGTCTGTGTCGACAGACGGTTACAAGGAGTGATTACCAACAAAGGACCCGCTGGCAACCGCGGTTGTGTAGTCGTGAGAGACGGAGGGAAACTGTTAGAAAAGGGAATTTAGGAAAAAATGAAGCCTGAAAGAAATAGCTGAAAATAATAGTTAAATTTGATCGTTTAGGAAAAAGGCAGCAAAAATGATGTTATAATTATGGCCGCCATGATATGTTCCGTAATAGACTCATCGATTGGCAGATGAAGATTTTTGATTTTTTTTCAAGCAAAAATGGCAATCTTGTCTCCGGACATTTTTCTCAATTTTCTGACAATTTATAGACCAGGCAATTTAATGAATATATTATTCAATAAAACAATGTGTAGGTTAATCAATAACCAAAATAATTGTTTGTTGCTGCCCTAATTATAATCAAATCCAGTTGTGTAAGAAGAACATATGTTTCTGAATTATTTAACTGTCCATACATATGCGACTGTACATTTCACTATAACAACTGAAGCATTTTGCCTTGCTGGGTGCTCACACACACACTCACACCTGTTTCACAATGCTGCCTGTGCACTGTCAACATTAACCTCAGATCCCCTCTTTTACATAATTCTCTCCCTCCTTCTCGATCCCCACCCTCTCGGAGGAGTTTGTTTCCCTCCAGCGACCCCTGGCCTCTTCCTCTGGTTCAGGAAATGGCTAACATGCCACAGAAAGCAGATGGGAGTGTGGGATTGGCCCATTGCCAACTCACCACCCCCCCCATCTTCAGCTTTAGGAGGTGGGGTCTTCTTGTCACATGACATTGATACTACCATACGCCTTGGTTCTCTACATTACATAACATACATACCCTGTAAAAAAAAGTTATAGCTATACATTTAGTATGTGTTGAAAGTTCATGAACTTGCAGTAATATGTAGGTCTGGTTTTGGCAAGTTGCCTCCTCATGCTTGGCATCTGTTTCCAGCCGTCTTCTCTTTTCCCACAGTAGAATGCTAAAAGAGAGCAAGTTGTTTGCTCTGGGCTTGGAAACAGGCCTGGTTTTGGTTGTATATTCGGTACGCTTTTTGTCTCTCGCCATCTTGGACTGAAAGCAAAGGTTCAACCACCTTCAAGAAGCTCTACTGCCAGACATACCTACATTGCAGCCAGACATTATTGTACTTTCTTTAGTGATGTTATTGCTTAAATGTTCACAATTTTCTGTTATGAGAGACAGGAAAAGTCTGTGGAAGCATATGTCCAAAAGTGGAAGAAGTGAAATGGGGCGGTCGGTTCAATGTAACAGCACGGAACAAGGGAATAGAGGAAGAATGCGTTGGCATTAACTCAATTTACATCAATCAGATCAAGATACTTGATATGGACGAGCCAGAGCTGTAGAATCTCCACTCTGATTTATTTTTGTCTTTTAAAGATGTTAACAACTGAAGGCTGTCCAACATTAATATGAAATATATCCAACTTGGAAAGAAATCTCATTGGTGATATCCCAATGTAACGTACGTTCCTTGGCAAGACAAAGTGTGGGAAGCTGTTCGGCTCTGGAGTTAGTATGTCCTGGAAAGCTAATCTGGATTTGCCCCAAGAATGTTTCCCCTCCTCTGCTATTGTCTGTAGGATTAGTAGTGCTAATCCTTTTTTGTTTTTGCGCAACTACCTTTATGAAGTGCGTGAGTGAGAGAGATACAGAGAGATTGTTTTTAATTGTGTTGTCTCTGTGCTTGACCAACAGCAGAGAATCGTATGAGAGTTTCTTGTTCTAGTTTTTAAAGTAGAGTTAGTGGTGGGACTGGAATACTTTAACACCATGAACAGCAAAAGGAGCGTGCCAAGAACACGAGGGGAACCCTGCACATACTGTTCTGTTTGAGTCCTGAGCAGTATTCACAAGGGGAAGAAAAATATGAATCTGTCATTATTAATTCATTTATAATGCATCTTATGTCATAATATTATCTGGAAATAGATTAATTTAATGGCTATTGTTATATCTGACATAATATTCAGAGGTATATTCATCTTATGGGGGCATATTTCTTTTTACTTGGAAATATTTTTATTATTTTGAGCATGCTGCTATAATATTTCATGTATAATATTATGTCTTGTGCAAAAACATTAGGAACTTTATAAATTACTTTTTCCAAAACCAAGCCTAGAAATGTTTTGACACAGCCCATAAGGGATGTTGACCAGTTTCAGATGGTGGCCGCACAGTGAGAACTGGTCCCTGCAGCTCTGGACAGATTTTCTGTTCAGAAATATGGTCCAGTTTGTCCTTTTCTGGATAAAGTTCGCACACCAAGTATACTGTGGCTTTCAGAGCAACACCAACCACCTATAGAAGACAGGGAGTCACAGTCAGTCCAGTCTCTAGTCATGTGTGTAAATACTGTACTTATTAATCAGTGCTGACTGTTAAACCCACTCCGATCTGTATTAATCTGCTGATGATAGCAGTGTTGCGATAATTTCCTCAGTACCTGCAATGTTATGTCAGCATAAGGTATCCCAACACAGTTTTTGGCACAGTCATTATTAGTGAGGAAATGACATGTTTCACCTGTTCTCTTTTCTTCAGACACTCGGTCATTGTCTCGTCGGCTATTTCAGTTCTCTTTTTTTGCTCTGAGATGCTTTGCACACCACACCTTTGCATCACATTGACCTGTTAATGTCACAACTGCAGTGTGTGTGAAGGGAAGAGCATGAGATTAAGCCTACAACATTATAATGTGCTCAGAAAGAGCATTTGAGTTGCACCACAGCACGCAAAATGCAGGGAACCAAATTGAAACATAACAATGCTTGCAGAGCTTAGTCGAAAGTGATCTCATCAGTGTGAACAACAGCACTGCTTTAATTAAACACAAATTAACAAATAAATCCATTCAGCTGTTTTGTTTGTCAAGTTCTCCTAATTTGTGAAATATTCTGTATAATCTCGTATTATGGCGTGACAGAACCCTTCCCAAATTAGAGGGTTTGGAACCTCTCACCGCCAGTGGTTTCTAGTCTGTAAATATCCATTTCGTGGGGGGAAAAAGCCTTTAACTCCTAAGACAATTGAAAGTTCAGTAGCATAAAACTGTTCTTTCACTATTTGACTTCTAATAATGTTAAATGGCTATGTACTAGCCATCTAGTAGATCATAATCTACAGGAGCATCAAAGCAAAGGCTTCTGCTAAGAGAGAAAAAGTGAACGTGCCAAGATGCTAATCTCTGCTACTGCACATCCTGATCAGATTTTAAGATAGCAACAACAGACTGAATCACTGGACACACAAAATGATCCACCACTCTCACAGGTTGTAATTTAATTTCAGTGCAACAATTAACCAAATTCCAGGATTTGGCTTACATACTAAATATATGCGTTTAGTAGGGAAACCCCACTTCTCGTTAGTGATACACAGCATAATATAGAGCTTGGCATCAGTGCTGGCTGCTAGGCTGTAATTACGTGTGTGTGTGTGAGTGTGAGTGTGTGTGTGAGAGAGAGAGAGAGAGAGAGATTGTGCATTTGAATGTTGAACTCTGCGTGTTTACTGTGGGAGCTGTCTGGGTGTCAGACAGTGGTGGAGCACATCACGGGGACTTCCTCTGTTCTTCAACCACGACTAGACTTGGCTGCTCTTAATCTGCACAAACACTCGAGCACGTACACAAGGTACTTTAAATCAGCTGATCGGCCTCATTACACCGTCTCAAAGTCTACACCGCAAACATGGTCTGCATTGTTCTCTTGCTGTTGGATGCGAAATACAAGTTTTTAGTTTTGTTTTTTTTAGTCGGTGTATTTGTCGCAGCTCATGATTTCATTTCATACCCTGCGGGTTGATCACCTGCTCTGCTCTCTTTTCAATGTACACACAAGTATAAGTCATGTGTTTATTGAACCATTTGGAAACTCTATTGTCAGGATTGCAAACTCCTTTTTTTGTCTTATTGAACTGTTTTCCTTCACTTCTTCTCTTCCTCTGTCAGATACATCGGAAAGGCAGACTCGATAACCATCAGTGTATGGAACCACAAAAAGATCCACAAAAAGCAGGGCGCAGGTTTCCTCGGCTGTGTCCGCCTCCTATCCAACGCCATCAACAGACTCAAAGACACTGGCTGTAAGTACTCTGTGTGTCTGGTCTCTGCATGCTCACCATGGCCTTTACCCTGGTGCCAGTCTGGCTTGTTAGTGAAGAGTGATGGGGAGGTTCCACGGGAAATACAGAATTAATTAAATAATAACTTAAGAGTGAGCCATGTTAAGATCTCCTCACACATCTATGCACACTCCTTCTGCACTCAGCACACATAGTCAGATAGACAAATGTGTGGGCAAGACATAGTGTCTCCAACAACTTACAAAAACTTCATTTCAAGGAGCCTTTCCTGTGCTTCTGTTTTGTCTGACTGCAACAGTTTGATAGCTAGCTAGCCTGCTGCTACATGTGTAGCTCTTTCAACGCTCCCATCCTCAGCTTGCAGCCTGCTGCTGCGTTTGTGCTAGCCATTCATTGCCATAAGATTTATGGGCACAATACACAAGCAACTCCTTTAGGCCACACATGTCAGAAATATTGTTTGCTGTAGATATCCGGCACCCGGGACTAATTCAACAGTCACAATTCATTTTTACAGCAATGCAACTGTCTGTCAAGAAGCAACAAGATTTTATTCTTGGAAACAAATTCCTGCTGGTATACTTATTGGCACTGTTTTGCACAAGATGCAAAAACAGGAATAAGGATGCTGTTTTGGGATAGTTGTGTGACCATAAAGTTGACCCCAGGCTAGTGTGGGTAACATACAAAGGAACAGCAATGAGTTTGCACAGACACGTTCTCAAACAGTTACGTCTGCGTTGCTTCAGACTGCGGCTCCTGTGTTGATTTTGACTCCTATTTTCTGTGTGCAGTCAACATGGCCACATGCTTGTTAGCCCTGGCTACCTCGATGGCAGCACCAGTCAGTTGATACTGACGCATATACACTTAGCTGTACTACATACTCTCAAATTAACATTCTTTCACACATTTGTCTCCTTTTCTCAATCCATCTTCCTGACCTGTCCTAAACAAAACATGTCGGACATGTTCCAGAGCAACCACACTTGGTTGCGTTTTCTTCCCTTTTTTTTTTTAAATATCCGGCTTTTTTTTCTTATTTCCATTCTTTCATTTTACACAGTCACACCCCACAACCACTAAAGGAGTTGTCTGTCTGAATATAATTGCCATTTGTTGGATGCTTTTTTTTAATCCAAACTGCATAGTTGGATACTTCCATGAATGTAGGTAGTCGGAATTTAGTTGGCCCAAATGCAACAGACTCATATGCCAACTCCAAAAAGCTAAATACTTTAAATTAGAGTGCATAATATGTATTATATTTGCTCCTAAATGGCGTTCTTGGCACATACTTTAAAGTTCACCCCTTAATCCACCAAAAACCACAAAAGGGACCTTGACAGCCACGAAAGCCTGGTGCCATGCTTTTACCCTACTGGGTGCCAAAGGACTTGTCCTTAGATTTACCCACAGCTTCCAGAAACAGACAGTTTAGGCTCCAGTTAGACTCCAGACCAGCCACTTACTGTACAGCCACCCTGGCATAAATGATACTTTTTCATAGCCACAGGAAGTAGACATGGAGACAGCTCATGATCTATGACAAGACACCAGCACTCACATTACCCCCTTGTCCTGAGTGCTGCAGACACACACACACACACACACACACACACACACACAGTGTACCCAGTCTGTGGTCTGACCAAGATGCACATGTGCACAAACAAACACACACACACACACACATTGAGACAAATATAAAAACACAAAACAATACTTTACTGGAATTGCATTCGTTCCTAGAAGTCATATTCGACTCCTGCACACACGCACACGCACGCTCTCTTGCAAACCAAAAGTGGATCTGGCATGATTGTCTAGTTTACTAGAAGTCTGTCTGGCTCTACACTGAGCTCCATTTCCTGCAGCATCGCAGACACAAACCTCTGAGTCCTCTGTCCTACTTCTGAACCCACAAACCCAGTAACACACAGGCACCACCATCAAAATGACTTGCCTGACTGCACGTGCTAGTCTGCCTCGCTTGGATCCCTGATGTTTATTTGTGTGTAGTATTTATAGTGTTGATGTAACAGTGTTTTATATTTACTGATTTGCTGATTGTGATACTGCTGATGGTTTTACATATGCATACAGACATGCACGCACAGAGCTACAGATGTGCATAAGCTATATGTATCGATACTAAACACACTCGGCTCATGATGGTCAACATGCACATATTTACACTAGTTTATGTGGTTTGTTCATTGTAGCAACCACTTTCCCTAGCTCAGGAGTTGAATGGTGCAGTGATGGCTTGTGTTTAAAGGTCTGCAAATGTCCTTTTTCTCCATTTCTTCCTTCTCTTATTCAAGAGAAAAATCTGCTTACTATTCCAGCCATGTAAGGCTTAGACCATCCCTGTTTAGTCTAGACACGTATCCGGAACAGATGCACACACACTTCTGGAAACAAGCTATAGGGTTGTTTAGATCTGCTTAGTCCATAGAAGCAGACACACACAGGCAAACCAAAGACATGATTCAGTCTGGCTTTGGTTTTAGTGTTGGTGCATGGAGAACTGGGGCATCTCTTTATCTCCCTTTCTCTCACTCACGCACTCTCTCGCTGCCTCTTCTGCATATTTCCCTTCCTCTCCTACACTCACACTCTTAGGTTTGATTAGGCTTTATATTTTAGTAAGCCAAAGCCCCTGCAGGACTCTTACCCTGTGTACACACACACAAACAGAGGTTGCAGTTTAGATGGGTACCAATTAATATCACTCCTGCGCTGGTCAGCTAGACTGGACCTGCACAAGTTCCCCTGTGGGGCTTAGTGTGTGTGTGAGAGAGAGAGAGTGTATCTGTGTCCGGAGCTTGTTCCGAGTCTTCTTTGATTGTGTTTCTGTGCTGTCCATGTCTGGCAGTGCAAACACATTTTGGTGTCCAATTTTTTTTTATATCTCACACACAAAATGGGTCTTCTGCAGAGAACTCTGTTTTTAAAAAATATATATTTTAAAGGCACACCTGTATGCAGACATCATTTGTTGAATTATAATTTTGACTGTCTCCTTCAGTGTGTCCCGTTTGACTAAGTCAGACTGTCATTAGCACCGTGTCTAAAACACATTGCCATTGAAAGGAATGAGGAGGCTATGCATTGACGCTGCAAGGTTGTCGACACAGAAGACTCCAGCAAAAGAAAACACGTTATCTGGCATAAATGTAGAACCTGGCTCACATTTAGCTACAACACAATTTAAAGTTACCCGGCAATGTTCTGCGTTGGCCAATCAAATACGTATAAGCACACATTCCTGGTACATTACTTAATTGTCATATAACATGAACATAGTAAATCTCCTGCTTATCTGGTGATTGTCACAACGGAGGATACTTGGCGTGAAATATATCAAGTTGCTCAGTACCTGGATGTGTTCGTGGTTGTACATGTGGGCAAATGCTTAATCAATGGTTGTGTGTCTGGTTTGGTTTTTCCCTGTAGATCAGAGACTGGACCTGAATAAGCTGGGCCCCAATGACAATGATACTGTGAGAGGACAAATAGTCGGTAAGAAGCACAAACGCACACAATTGCGGTTGCATACTGTACGTCACAATAGAACATTTTATCATTCTTAAGTGTGAGGCAGTCAAGCCATGTGCAGTCTTGTATCAGTCTGCGTTGCATATTCATGTTGCTCTAGTCAACAGCCAGTTTGCCATTACTTTTAAAAAAAGTTCAGATGGACACTTTTGTTCAAATCCCAAAGCATTTACTGAAACCACTGAACCAATTAACAGCTAGAAGACATTGTTGGAACTACATTTGCAGTTTACTTAAAACAAATATGTTAATGGAGAGCTCAGTTTTAGTTTTTTTTAAAGAGCAAATTATTATTTATCGCTCTCAAACCAAACATTTTTCACTATTTGAAATTAGATACATGCGGTTGAACCGTGTCCTGCAAGAGTTACCACTGGATGTCTCAGTGCTTTGTATTATTTAAACACTAGTAAACGCAAATTGAACCAGACTGCATCCTCAATGTCAATACTATGACTCGGTTCATTACTTATTGAAAAGAAGTCTTTCATCTTCTTATTTTGTTCCCGTCTTAATGTCAGAAGAGAAAAGGAAGAACACAAAATGTATAGAAAGCATCACTGAAACAGGAAACCACATACCATAGGGACTTAATACAATATGATAAATATTACCCATAAAATGCAGCTCAGACAATGACTAAGAAAATGACATTGATCGATTGTCTTCCTTGTCTTTAACTGTGTAGTGAGTCTTCAGTCCAGAGATCGCATTGGGACAGGGGGGCCGGTGGTGGACTGCAGTCGTTTGTTCGACAATGACTTACCCGATGGGTCAGTATTCTCACAGGTTTTAATCAAAAATGAGCTATCCTGTTTGTGCACACATCTTCAACTTTGTCAGAGAGTAATTATATCAGTAAAGTAATCTATAGTTTAAATGTGTACATTGGGGCAGGGGGCGAGCTTCTCTATGCTTCTGTGAATATTTAAAAATTGCTGAATATATTTACAGTAATATATGTAAACAGTAGAGTTTAACATATTATACGATGGTAATTTTTTCAGTTTTTTAAGGAGAAAATATCTATTTGATACATTTTTTTCCTGTGCAATCCTAAATGTGTAGGTTCAGCTGTATGCATGTTGGGGATTCTCTTTTTTTGTGCTGCTTATAAAATGAGGGATGAATTGTTTACAGTGCTGTCAGATTAACGTGTGCTTAATGATGACAAAGATGTATTTTTTACTTTTGATATTGCTTTACTACAAGTACAATGTTTGTTTCTCACCCGTTTTTATATTGTGCCATGAAACAGCTGGGAAGAGAGGAGGACAGCCTCCGGAAGGATACAGTACCTGAACCACATCACACGTACCACCCAGTGGGAGAGACCTACTCGGTACATCTGCACACATACTGTACACATCCTCAACTAGCACTTCAAATACAACAAGCTCGACTTTTTACAACAAAGCATCAGGAGTCTATTTAAGTGGTTGTACTTATCCCCACTTCCCTTTCCAGAAAAAAACACTTCCACTCGGCATAACTCGCAACAATAACAGTATGTCGGTAATGAGCGAATTGCTGTCAATTTCGTTAGCCCACCGCAACACACACACACACACACACACACACACACACACACACACACCGACTAGCCAGCCAGTCGGACAGCCAGGTTTTACTTGGCCCCTGTTCGTGCAGAAACAACTGTCGCCTTCCTACTTGGCCCATATCAGTGGAGCCGTTAGGGAGTAAGCAAACAAATAACACCACCACCCCCACCTCCTCACCCACTCTTACCACACATCTCTAGTGGCCCCCAGGCAGCATAGTGGAAGGCAGTAGGACAGACAGGAAAGGGTTTAGTGGCTGGTCATTTAAAAAGGCGGAAATGGTGAAGCTGAAAGGGAAGATGAGCAGCTTGGGGCTGTGTAGGAGGGTCAAGTAGCGAAAAGTAAGAATAATAGTTGGAAAAAAAGCAATCCGTCTTTACTTCCTCTCCCATTTTCTGTGACAGCAGGTGCAATAAAGACAGAGTGAAATTTAAAAAGACAATTATTTTTGCCTTATTTATAAAGTCGTGCAAGTATTTTACATATTAACTGACCAGGTACAAAGAGGGAATATTGTTATTGTGTTGTCTAAGGCAGATAGTTACTATTCTCACAATTCTTCAGTGTCAATTGTCACTGGTTCTGACTGACGACAAATTTAAGCTGGTCCATGAGCTAGTCATGAGAGGACACATTGTGGGTGTAGATGGGGAGAAAATGGCTCAGACATTGGAAATAGGAGTGGTATAACATGAAGGAAAGACCAGGGAGAGTGGAGGCAGAGGTGGGACATAAGTGAAGGGGGAGAAAGAGGAAATAGGAGGGAGGAAGAGTGTGTGGAAGGGGGAGGAGGTGGATAGTGGGTCCAAGGTTTTAGATAGCCATGGCGTCAGTAACTCCGGACAGCCAGACGACGGTCACGCATGCTACACACGCACACACACTAATATTAGTGAGTCAGCCTTTCTCTGTTTATCTCAGCTTATCAGATATTTTATCCTAAATCCTGCAGTTAAGTAGCGCACAAACACGTTCTACTGTAGTCTTGTGAGAACTTTCTGCATGCTTATATGCAACCCTTCAGATCACTTTAATCTTAACCTTAACCATAAAATCTATTTTTTATCTTGAGGACAGATGACACATGCTGTTTCCCAATAATTACACTATACCAGTTGTGTGTATGTCTAGACATCAAGAGAACAAATAAACTGGCGACACCTATGACTTAACCCTTAGCACAACTCTAACGCACCCTCCACACCCAGGTTCCTGAAAGCAGATGAAATACGGTGCACGCACAGTCTCATACATTCACCAAAACCTCATTTAATACACTCTACTGTGGATGTAACACTTTGGAATGAAAACAAACATTTGTATTGTTCTGGTCAATTTATTCAACCAGTTCACAGCAAGAAAGTTGGTGTTGTTTAGCCCAGATGCTCATGTTTATTCTCTTCTGATTTGTTATGAAATGGTAAAATGTATCTTATAACCTGAAAAAATAGAGTGAGATTACACTGCATTTACATGACCACTCACTATTCTTACCCAGGCCAGCGTCTGAGTACTCCAGCCCGTCAGGGCGGCCGCTGAGCTGTGTGGTGGACGAGAACACGCCAGTGATGACGCCCGTTAATGGGGCCGAGGCCAGCTGCCCACCGGGGGAACCGCGGATCCAGGAGAGACGGGTCCGATCGCAGCGGCATCGCAACTACATGAGTCGAACACACCTGCATACGCCACCTGACCTGCCTGAGGGTTATGGTGAGAGACAGAGCTGCAACACACGCACTCACTTCGCTAACTGATTACCATTTATTCAATCTGGTGAAATAGGAAGAGATGATCTCAATAAGTTGTTGCATTTTGTATCAAACTTCGTCAATCTGAGCAGTGAAAGCACCATTGTAAACCAAAAAAAAAGGAGGCGGTCTTGTTATGATCGTGCGATTACAAAGGTGATCCAATCATGTAGCTGCTAAAGTGTCTTTTGTGGAATGTTTTGCAGTGTGTTGGCTGGCTGGCGGTCAGAAGCATGTAAATAGTTTATTCTACCTACATGAGCTGTTTAAAGCCGTTGCTCTGGAAAAGGCATTCAGGGCCTTCTGCCATTCAGTATCAATAAGGTCACCTGAGAATGTATTTACACATCTGACTGCACCCAGTCAAATGTTGGTTACATTTGACAGAGCTCAGCCTTGTCACTACTGTTTCATTGCCAGTACATAATCAGTGTTAACGTTTACTGATATCAAAAAGGCAAGCTGAGATGAAGTCCCAGCCCTAACCCACAAAACTATGCACTGAAAGACCTGGGGAGCTGCTCCTTTGGTGGTGTCGTCTCTGTAGCCTGGAGGAAGCGATATTTTGAACATTTTTTTCCTGCCCTTTTCATCCTTTTGTTTTCTCTCTGCTGTCCTTGGCCTCTCTCAAATGTTCTCTAGCAAACCCCCCCTCCCATCCCCTCACACCCCTTACCACAGCACCATATCATGACAACTGCAATCAACACTTGCTGTGTGCCTCTGATCTCCCCTCCCTCCTTCTCTTCTCTCCTCTCTTTTACTGTCCTCGCCTCTCCTGTTTGCAGACTGATAATCCTTCTGTGAGGAGAAAGGGGGCAAGCAGGGTAGTCATCGGTGTTTAGCTCAGAGAAGGCACTTTAGGTTATTGGCAAGAAAACACATTGGGAAATTAATTCAGGGGCTACACGAGTACATTTTCCAACATTGGAATGCAGAAAATGTGTGCTTTTCACAGTCAGCCACAGTGCAGCCCACAATACGCACAGAGTATATAAAATAAATTATTATTTTAACTGTGGTCCTCTTTGCCAGGGATTTAGAAGGGCACTGTTGGACCCGTGCCCCCTTTTGAAAAGTCCTGTTGTGTCCACTGAGGCTGGCCAAGGTCGGACAAAGTGAGTCACTGATGCCCAACAGCTAGTGAGCTTTCTTCCTCAGCTAGACCCTCTGATCCAGTGGCTGGGTGTGGTCAGGGAGCGTGAGAGTGAGTGTGTGAGGGGAAAAAGAGAGGGAGACGTGGGTAGGAAATGAGTTGTGCCAGTAGGAAGTTGGGGTGGGGGGGCAGTGATGGATTAGCAGGTCCATATACATACGCACGAGCACCACGCCTGTGTACCACACACACTTTGTGCCAACACTCACTCTCCATTCATCCATGAGCTGGATGGAACGCGAGATCCAACAAGCCGATGACGATCCATTCTCTTTGGATTTCTTCCCCCATTTCTTTAT